AACAAGAGTGTCGTTTGTACTGAATGAACGATTGAGTGAACCAGTTCGACTTTGTAATGCTTTAATGGTGTGACTGGGGGTTTTTTTTGGTTTTTTTTTGGGGGGGGGGTTGTTCAACCTTTCAACATGATCTAAAGGCATTTGGGTCCAACTGAGAACTTGTGCAATCAATGGGGGGAAAAAGTCTTTACCCCTTCTATTGTTCGAGCAATGTCTGGGCTTACGTTCCTAAAAAAAATAGCCCTTGTTGAATTTGCATCATGACGTCTGTCTATAGCCTTCAACTCTTTGCCTTGTATCAAGGAGTCAATATGTAGCCTATAGCTACTTGATTCTTGAATGTCTGCTTTATGAGATAGCAGAGTGCTTGAGCGGTCAGTGTTGAACATAAACATACACACACATATTATATCAGTGGTATTGTGCTCTATCCATGTTACTGATCTTTTTAAAAAATTTCCATGGTCCGTGAAATGTTCCCTGCTCAAAATTAATTTCACATTTCAAGAGGGAATACTCATAGTTCATCCTCATCATTGCCTTTCTCACCCTGCACCAGGGTATAGGCCACGGACAAACACCTTCCACCTTTCTCTATCCTGGGCTAGCCTCTTGATGTTATTGACTCATAGTTCAGTAACCTACAAAATATCTGTACTTGGGACAAGGATAGACATCCCTTATGAGGACCAGTATAAGGAGATTAGCAACAGTTTTGGAACAAAAAATGAAGAAAATGGTCAAAAAAGATTTCCAGTATTTTCTCCTGTTTCATGATTAGAGCACAACACTGCCGATATTCTCTAACCAATAGTTAACCTGTTTCGACAGATATACAATGTGGCTGTCATGGTCAATGATTTTCGTCCATCTTCTTCCTCAATAGATGCATGATTGTACATGCTTTATATCACTCAGGTTGAAGGAGAACATCTCTTTTCTTGATCTGAGAATGTATATCGAGTGCCTAGTATAGGACTCCGCCATGCACCATTTTGAAAAGTGATGTATAACAAAGTCCTTCCCTGAGCAGCTGTTATGTTATGTTAGTTGCCATGTATTTATGTTGTTTCTGTATTATTTCATTCTTATCCTTATCTTCAGAGCAATTGACATTGTTTTTTTTGTTTTTCTAAATAAGAGTTTAAGTTCATTTGATTTTGTTAATTCTGAAAATCATTTTAGATTAACATTTTTTTGTTTTTGTTTATTCATTTCATAATATGTTTTGCAGTGACAAATTTAACAATATGACGAGGTCTAAAAGACAGAACCTGAAAATAAACTGAGCACAAGGAAAGGTGCTACTCACAGCCCAGTTTGGTCACCGAGTGTCTTAAAAACATGTTAGCATCGTATAATTTTTTTTTTTCCATTTGATTTTTGCTGTTGTTAATCTTATTTTAAAATGAATACTTATGATTTATCTTACATTATGGTGTTTAAGAAAACAAAGTCCAGGCATTAGATTTCTGATTTTGGAGGCATATTGAATTTCTCAAAAAAGCAAGCTACATAAAAACTATGAAGTGCTTCAGAATATAATGTTTTCTCAATAAGAAAATATAAGTTAAAATGTGTTATTCTGTGCCTGACAAGACATGGTGTGACCTTAGAAAATGTCTTCACACAACCAATGACATGTTTCTTTGAAAAGAAAGTATTAGGACTTTTCTCAATATGTCCTTTAGCAACAGGAAGAGATTTGTTTTATTGCATTAAAGGTTTTTCGCGCAGGAAGGTGTACTTGATTCATCATTGTTCATATTTTGGCTACATTAAGTGAGAACAATTGTTCTCACTTAATGTAGCCAAAGTATAAACATTCTGGACCCCATGTCAGAAAACTTGCAGATTTTAGTTAGGCAGTGGGCTCCGCTTGTGTTGAACTCGCTTGAGTTGATCTTCGGTCAAGTTGATATTTTTCTCGGGTCCCAGCTCGTTTTCTTTACAATTCCCAAAGGTTAAGTTGAACTTTGGAAGAGTTGATTTTTTTTCACTCCCTCGACGACATCAACTCATCCGTAGTGGACTGTACTTTCATATTTTAGGTCAATTTTCTAGGCCATGCTTGAAGTTCTTATGATTTTTGAAAATGCTAAAACGCGATTTTTTGGAGGGTTGAATTTGTACCATGACGGCGGCACATTAGCCAACATGTGTGATGTTTCCTTTGAATTCTGATGTGTCTGATACCCGGGTTAGCTGTGTTCATTTTTGTCCCGTATGTGTCAAAAGAAATCTGTAAACTCAACGATTATTCATTTTATTTCTGTACTTGTACCTATGATTGTGCTCTGTGCTGAAAGCAACTGTGAGAAAAAAGAATTGATTATGATTTGAGTTGTTTTAAAAATTCTGTTAATTCAGGATAGGAGGCTGAGATCTTCTTTGTCGTAAGAGAAGTTTGTAACGTGGGAGCAGACTGAGAGGATTGAATTGATTACAAACAAGTCCAAATGGGTTATTTTTTCTTCTTTCATTCCCCTCCCTCATCTCTTTAGTAAAGTGGTATGGTTTAGTTTTGGTAAAGGTAAAGAAAAGAATCGTAATAGACAGAAACAACCCAGGGCTAAGAAGGTAGGGTCTCCTTCAGAAAAAAAAACCCCAATGTAGGTCAAGGAAAGAAGGGTCTCTGTGTGGTGACCGCCAACCACCCACAGGGCAGATTAACTTTAGGTGGAAAACTGCTGGAACACTTTAGGAACTACACTAGCAATCACCGGTCTAGGCATTCTTTTCTTGCAGTTCTTCATGAGCTTCCAGTTTTCAAACAAGTGTTTTGATGAGCCCAGAAATTGAGAAAGACACGCATTACAAAAGTATGCTAGTTTTTTAAAAGAAGGTAAAGACTATATTGAGAACGCACAAGATAATGATGTTAATGCCAGCTTATTACAAATTTCATTTTACTTCAGCAAAATAGGAAACTTTCTGCTTCTACTATGCAATACCTTTTGATCTTTATGAGTTCTAATTTCTTCCTTTTTGCAGAGTATTAAATCGGCAGCATTTCTATACCCCACCTAATTGATTAATTACTTAAAGTTGACCATTTGTACTGACATCAAGCTTTGAACAAGTATTGTGAGAATGAGACAAATGGCTGAACTGTTTATTAACTATGCTGATATTGATAGTTTCCAATACTCGATGCTATACTACACTGCTGATTATAACTTACGTTTTCGCCACCATTAACGTTTTTGTTTTTTAAAAAAATCTATAAAGATGTTCCTCATCAGAGCTGATTCACTTCATTATTCATGCTTATGAAACAACGATATGTTTACTCAGGAAAGATAGGTGTTCTGAATCTCTTTGAATTTGGATATCAGTCGAGAGTGGTCTCGATTGATTTCTGTAAGTCTTATCCACTGCCACTGTGTTTCCCCTGGTTTTTGCTTCTGAAATGAATTCACATTCGTCATCTCACCACTTTAAAAAATTACTTATTTCTCATGCAAGAGTGCAAAGGACATTAAACGTTGTTTTAAGAGATTGAACCCGTGGTATAAATACCAATTTGTTGCGTTTGACTTCAAGAAAGGCACATGAATAGAACAACTGTCATTGTGAGCAGGGAAAGAGTAAAGCAGAAGATAAAAATATAGGTGAGGAAACAAAAGAAGTAGGACGAACCAGGGAGCTAGCGCCCAAGATTGAAAAAAGGACGACAGTCCACCATGTCAGGAATGTATTGCAACTGAGATAAGTTTTGAGTGAATGAGGAGAAAGAGAAAGAAAGAAGTGCGCACTCTGAGAAGATCATCTATTATCTATTTGTGGTGGCCGAATTTTGCTATTCAAAAGGCTTTTTAATGGCTGCATGGATCGACATGCGCTTTTCGCCAAAAGATTCTTTAAAATATTCTCCAGATCATGACGCCCTTGGTTTTTTCAGTTTTGAGACAGTTTTGCTGCAAAAAGCAAAATTTCTTTATTTTGCCGATCGCTTTTGTAGGCCAACGCTTCTGTCTCTGTAATTTTAGAAAATCCGGAAGTGATATTTCGCAAGGTGCATTTTGTTTTGAGATTATAGATATAGACGTTCTAATTTTTTGCATCTCTCAAGATTTACTGCCCCATTCCAGTAGAGTGTAAATATAGTAGGCCAATGACTTTTAGTTAATATTAGACCACCGATCATTCATTTCATGGAAAGGGGGCCCAGCTAGTATTCTCTAATTACGAGCAATAAAAAAGGAAAAAACCCACCAGAATTACATAAGATTTAAAGGTTTTTTTCAAAAACATAAACCATTTATTAATGGTAAATAGTTTGTTAACATTTACTTGGTTTCTGATGGTGTGTCTGCTGAATAAACTGTTTCTTCAGGATTTTCCTGTGAGATTTAGACCATCATTATTTCACAATTGTACTTAACTTTTTGCCACTTTGTGACAGCAACTTTTATACGTATTATTATAGCTTGTTCAAACATTTTCTAGTTTCAGATTTGTCACTTTACAGTTAAACCCTCGTGATATGCATGTTTTGAAAGGAAAGAATTGTAATGTCATCTTAATTCAAGATGCGAAGGTTCAGACTTTTTCAGTTTCTTAAAACAACAGTTTCATCCTAGAGGAAAGTGTGGGGGGTAAAAGAAGTTTGAAGATCATGTCCACTGTGAGACAGACGGACAGACAGAAACAACAGAGAACAAGAATAGAGGCAGAACTAATTACCCTCTGGCCATCTCTCAAATTCAAGCTGGGAGCCTTCATTGTGTTTTCTATACATGTGTTCGTAAGTGTAAGTTCCACTATCGTGGTCAGCTCACTTTGGCATAATAATTCCATGCTGCTAATGCTGAAAAGATAAAGCTTGGGATGAGTTAACTTCTGCATCTGATGATGCAATAATTTATTTATTATTATTATTATTAGCCTACTATTATTATCAGTAGGCCTAGGCTACTATTATTAGTATGGTAAGATAGATTTTTTTTTGCTTTTGGAACCATCATTACGGGCTATTTTACACATGACCATGGTTT